TTGCTCCTGGCACTGTTCACGAGCAGCAGCCAGCTGCAAGCTGCCCATCTTGGGCAAGCGTATTCAGTGTCCCCCATTAGCGCACACTGCGGGGGAGGGGAGTTGGAGCTGGTACAGACCCTTCTGTGCACTAGGGGATATTGGTGGGTTCGGGCAAACACCTCCATCCCTCCTTTCTGTTCCAATTCAATGCCTAGCAAGACAATTTTCAAAATCCATTTAGGAAAACAACTTTTCCATTAGGGCCTTTCCCCTCTTTGATCTACCATAAGGTCCTGGTGCACTTTCATCCCCTGGCTCTTCTACCCCATTGCCATTTGGGGATCAGAAGCATTCCCTGTCGCTCACCTCTTAGGGATCCCGTCCCTCTTCTGCAGGTCTGGCTTGCCCCCAAATGTCCCTCGGTGCCTATACAACCCTTCCTGTTAGGGCCTTACCACCATAATCTGACCTAGGCACTTCCTGCAAACATGGGGGCTGGATTTTCCTTCAATACCAGGGAGCCATTAATATTGTAGAAGAGGCAGTGTCTTATGTATTTCATATTGTATTCCATGGCCTGCCTTTGGTTTGGTTTCAAAAGTATTGATTTCCATCACTAGGGATGGGGATATGTGAAAAATATAACAAGGGTAAGAAATATTTTCAGATTGCATTTATTTATTTATTATTCCCAAGATTTGGGGCAGCTTAAACGTATATTGTCGGTTGAACAGGGCTACGAACAAAGGGATAGATTTTTCTTAGGCAGATTCCATAAACACTCCCCAGGTTTGCTTTGGTAGTCAGTGAAAGAGAGAGAAAGACAGAGAAGATGGTTGTTTGGAAGAGGCTCTTTGTGGGATGGAGCAGGTACAAGCTCACAGCGGCTCTTAAACTGCAAAATATTGCCCACAATTTATTTATTTTTAATGCACCTCCACTCCATTGATTGCAAGTTGTGGGTCTTTCAGCACAACCCCTGGCCACTGTGATCAAAGTCGCACTTCAGAGACATGAGTGGATCTCAGCTGGAATTTCTTCTGAGATTCCAGACTCAGGAAGGATCAGTATAAGCCTGGAAGCCCAGCTTAAGCCAGAACAAAGTCCAGAGGTAAGCAGGGCGGTGCTGATGCCTTCCTCCAAGTCCTGGATGGGATGTTCTTGATCCGGCAAAGCGCCCCTCCATATTCGCATTGCCTGCTGAGACAGTGACGGGGCAAAGCTTACCACCGCTCGAGGCCTCCCTCCCTCCCTCTGCGTGCCGTCCCCCCATCGACTGACAAAGTTAAAAAGAACAGAATGGCAACTTAATTGACTTCAGGTGCTTTGCCGAGGGCAGGGGGCCAAAGACCGAAGCCCCGTCTCACCCAACCAGTGCCAAGTTCCACAGCTGAGAAGCTCTGGATTCTGCAGGCCTGGCCGGCAGCCGGAGGCTTCTAAACAGAGAGAGAACAATTAGCAGCTCCAGCTCCATTTACCTTCTCTCTTTTAAGCTGCAATTCCAACAAGGCTAGCATGAGTAAAGCAAATGCTAAGTGGCATTGGGGTGGTGGGCTTGGCTTCTTCTGCCTAAAGGATCCCAGCTCAAGTGGCCCTCCTCTTATCCAGACAGAGTGACACACCCACACCTCTTCCTTCTTGTATTTGAAAAATACAATAAATGGAACAAATGCCATGTTAGGTGATCAAGGTCTTAGTTTGGTAGAATTGTGCTGTTTGCCTGTTGCACCTGTTTAGGCTGCATCCCAGTAGTGGGTCCTAACCCACCAGTTATAGACCAGTGGCTTAGAGCAGGGGTTCCCACAGTGGGTGCCCCCTGGGGGCAGTGGGATAACCTAGGAGGCACACAAAGACACATGGGAGTGGCAGGGAGTGCTGGAGGTGTAAATGGTTATCAGGCTTTGAAAAGCTGGTATCACTGGATCAAGTTCACCAGTTTTGTTGACTTAATTAAACCAAACAGTTTTAATTAGATTTTGAATAAATGTGCAATTAAGTTACTGCTTCAAATTCTATTGTGTGGGTCATGCAAACCCCTGCTCTGAATAATGCTTTTTATAGGGTAAGGTTGGGGGTACTGGGGATAAGTTCAGGAAAACAAGGGGGCAATGGCCCCCAAAAGATTTGGGAACTACTGACTGAGAGGCACGAAGAATCCACCATTCAGGAACAGTTTCCTTCTGCTCTTGTTCTGTTCCAAGAGCATTCCTCACCACCCCAGCCTCTGTAATCCATATTCTGACATGTTTGAAATTATGTCACTTGTGTAAATGAGCCTCTTAGTGGCTCTCTCTGCAGAAGTCACAACCCCTGCGGTGGTTACTCAAAAAACAAGTTTGTGTTTGTGAATGTTTGTGTTAACAGAGTTTCTGAGCACATCATCCTTGGTGCAACTTGAGGCTTTGAAGGAATCCCATTCCAACCACAGAGTCTTGGCTTGGGATTGGCAAGAGATAATGGATTCTTAGATGGGGGGGACCCTATGAATTGGAAGTAGGTGCCGCCTACCACCAGAACATGCCCCAGTGAGCAACCCGGCTGCTGCATTTGCAGCTTCCAAATACACCTTAAAGACAGCCAGACAGATTGAGGAGTATTTACTTCAAGTATTTGTATTAGGGCTCAGGTTATTTTGGTCTAAACCACAGAGCCTAGGGCTTGCCGATCAGAAGGCTGGCGGTTCGAATCCCTGCGATGTGGTGAGCTCCCGTTGCTCGGTTCCTGCTCCTGCCAACCTAGCAGTTCAAAAGCACACCAGCACAAGTAGATAAGTAGGCGGGAAGATAAACGGCTTTTCCGTGCACTGCTCTGGTTCGCCAGAAGCGGCTTAGTTATGCTGGCCACATGACCCAGAAGCTGTACGCCGGCTCCCTCAGCCAATAAAGCGAGATGAGTGCCATAACCCCAGAGTCATCCACGACTGGACTTAACGGTCAGGGGTCCCTTTACCTTATTTTAGAGTAGCCCCGATCTGACCAGGGGCAAACCTGATCTGGATCCAGAATACATACCAATTCAGGGGCCTTCCACAAGTATGATTCCTGCATTGAAGGGGATGCACCTTCCAACTCTACAATGCTATGATTCTATGATAAAGATGTCTGTGTTGGGATACTGCCAGGGAGATAAAGTCCATCATGGCCCCCAAGCCGGCTGCCGGACGATCCATCGATCTCCCGTAGACACGCAGTATCAGCAATTAGCGACATGAGCTCCAGAACATTCTAGAGCCGATGCACACTCTTTATCAGCAGATAATGCACAGCAGAAGTCGCACTCAGGAGAGCATTATTTACAAGTTTTATTCAGCGTTGATCAGAACACAGAAAACCATGACTGCCTGCTGATCTAGTGTCTCCAGACACAGAGAGAAAACGAAAGCAACAGAAAACATAAACATCCTGTGAACAGGAAATACGCAGACTCTGTGACTCACAGCCTGCTCCCTTTTAAGGTGGAACGGAAATATCCTAACATCCTTCCCCTTTCCGTGTAACCTGTAGTACCTGTGGTTCAACCCAATTGCAACCTTTGTACGTAAACCTTAAGTTGTTCTCTGTTAACAACCTTAGACAACAGATCAGCAGGAATTTCATTTCCTGGCATGTAGGACACCTGAATGAGTCCTTTCTGAATACACTCCCTTGCACGATGTAGCTTAATCTGCAAGTACTTGGTCCTTTCCTTACAACTCTCTGAGTTCAGCAAAGCCAAACACGATCTATTGTCTTGATACACTTGTACAGGACATTTCACAGAAACTCTGATGTCCTTAAACAGTTGCATCAACCATTCACAATCCATGAGTGAAAATGACAGAGCATTGAGTTCTGCTTCACAGGAACTTAGGCTCACTGTCGTCTGCACTTTGCACAACCAGTCAAACAGGCAGTGGTTGTACACGTAGCATACTCCAGAAGTGCTTGTACCATCCGTGGTGTCACTTCCAAAACTTGCATCTGCAAAGATTTCAAGACCTCCAGTCTTCTGACTGGTGAACCTCAGCCTGTAGTGCATAGTCCCTTTCAAATAGCGGGCTATGCGCTTCAGAGCTTTCCAATCCTGAACAGTAGGATTGTTAGCATGTCTGCTAAGCAGGTTAGTGCTTACAGCTATGTCAGGTCTGTTGGAATTATTTACACCGGACAAGAGGGTACACAGAGACTGAACATGGAGCCCGGCACGCTTCCGTTGCGGAACTCTGCAAGCTATCCGTGCCTCCTGCAAAAATCCTCCTCAGGCCTCTTTCTCTTGCCGGTAGCAGAGCGAAACACAGCGGTGAGAAGCAGAGTGCAGCACGTGTGGAATAAATCAGTCCAGACACAAGGCAGTCCTTATCTACTCTTGCCTTTTAATCATGAAGAATAACATCATAAATTCAGACCTGGCGAGAACTGACACATTCTCCCTTTCGCATCACGTCCGAAAGTCAGACTGAAACACACGGAGTCAAACCCCTCCCTTAAGTGTTTCTAACCACGCCTCAGGAAAGAGACGTCACCAGAACTCTTTAACTCTGTGAGTTCTGAAACCATTCACACCCCCTCTCGTCACGAATCCTGAGGGGAAACTGTGAACCCCTATTTACAGACCTCTTTGAGTTCAACTCACCTCCCATTGCCTTTTGCCTCCCACTGGCATCCATCCCAGGCAATTGTTGAATCCCTTCCACACTCCCAGAATCACACTGTGCGAAACCAACCCACGCACTGGTGACCTGAAACCTCTCCGGTGGAATCGCCTATGTGGTCCGTGTTGACCGCCGGAGCACAACCTCAGGCGCTCCTCCTGACCCACTGGGGTCAGCAAGTGTGTCTCCAGCAAGCTCAGAAGACCCCCCTCTGACTTGCTGCGTCTTCGGGCTTCCTGCACTTGGCTAACAGGAGATGAAGGCTCACTCTTGGGTTCCCTCTTAACCTGTGGAGAAACCCACCCCTGTGCTTGACCATCATCAGCAACCTGGTCTTCAGCAACAGGCTCCGCCTCTGCCTCTCCTTCCTCCCTTTCTTCCTCCTTTTCCTCCCCCTCAGAATCGGACAAGCAGTCTGAGAGAAAATCAGAACCATACCTAGGCTGTGACCAACCATCCTGCTCAAAGAACTCAGCATGCTTGCTGACCAGCAGCGTGGTCTGATCACCCTCTGGGTATGCAAACTTCCACCCATTTGTTGCAGGATCATACCCACAGAAGATCATGTCCTGGTACCTAGGACCATCCTTCTTCCGTTGCGCTGTTGGTATTGGCACTGAAGCCTTGGAACCAAACGAACGGAAGAAATGCACCTGTGGCTTCCTCTTGTGCAACAGAAAATACGGTGTGTCACCTACATCGTGATTGTAGGACCTGTTAAAAACAAAGTTGGCAGCTTTCCAAGCTTCACTCCAAAAGCTCTGAGGCAGCCCAGAGTCACCCAGCAAAACTCTGACAGCTTCAGCCAGTGTTTCACTCCTGTGCTGTGCCACGCCTCTCCCTTGAGGAGACTTTGCACCCGTCACGTGGTGACGTATTCCTTTTTCCTTGAAAAACTCCTCCAGAGCAGACCCAGTAAACTGTGACCCTCGGTCGCTCTTGAACCCTTGCACCCTGGTGGAAAACCTTCGTTCCACCTCCGCAACCCAATCCTGGATCAGTTGCGCCGCCTCCCCCTGTGATTTGAGAGAGAAACACCAGCCAACCTGGCTGTGGTCATCTGTCAGCGATAGCACATACTTGGCCCCACCCAGACTCTCACACCTCATGGGTCCTGACAGATCTGTGTGAATCAACTCAAAAGGTTTTGTGGTTACCCTCTTTACCCCGGGAAACCTGCACCTTTGAACCTTGCTGCATGCCCTGCACACTAGGGATCCCTCACATGGTGTGATTTTACATCCTTCGGTGCAGCCTGGCAGCCTCTTAACATCCTCCAGACAAGCATGAGACATTCTCTTGTGCCATACATGAACACATGAATCATGGCTGGGAACACTAGCACACTGCGCCTGTGCTTTCCCTGCATTCCCACCACCCTCCAGAGGTGTTTCCAGAACAAAGAGATTGTCCTTGCTCTCCACGTTGACAAGTTGCCTCCCCCTCTGAAAATGGAACAGGTGTTATTTTCAAAACAAATTTTGTATCCCTGCTTCGCCAGAGCAGAAACCGATAACAGGCAACACTTCATCCCTGGTACAATGAAGCACTCCAGCTCAGCCTGCAAAACAGAATTATAGACATTTGCCACTTTAGATACATTTCGTTTTTTCCCGTCAGCAAATTTACAAGTCATTCCAGTTAAAACAGCCCTGCAATTCTGCAGCTCCCCAGCAGATGGCGTTATCAGGTGATGACTCGCTCCTGAGTCCAGCACCCACTTCATAGTTGTGTCCCTGCTGGCATTGTTGTTCAAAGTTGCCAGAGAAGCCGCGAGATGATAACAGTCTCCCTTCTCTGAGTCACGTCCCTCCTTCGCGTTCCCACGCTGGCCTCCTCTCCGAGACTGGTTCCCATGAGAACTCAGCTGGTTGACCTTGGAGACATCCTGCCCGGCCTCTCTGCTCTTCTGCGGACAAGCCCGTTTTAGATGGCTGTTGGATCCACAGACATAACATCGACGAGTGGAAAAAGCCTGAACACAGCTCTCATCTGGCTTGCCCCCCACCTCGGCAACCGGTGGAGCTGCCTGCGCCAGACCTGCCTTCTCGGACACGCCTCTCCTGTTCGTCCGAAAGACGCCCTGTCACGTACGATAGCGTCAAATCCTGTGGACTCATCGATTCCATAGACAGACACAAATTGTCATAACTTTTGTCCAGAGAGCTGAGCAAAATATAAACCTTCAGCTCTTCTGAAAAGTTGACCTGTAACAGGCGCAACTCATTGAAAACAGAAAGCATCTCAGTAACATGCTGTCTGATGTTCCCACCGGGACGCAGCTTCATCTCAAATAAGCGTCTGGTGGTGTGGATCTTTGCACCAGCCGTGGTTCTGTGGTGCACCCTCTCAAGGGCTTGGTAGGCCTCCTGAGCAGTCTCAAGCCCTTCAACCAGAGGAAGTTGGGAACCCTCCAAACTGAGCACTATAGCTCCCAGGGCTTTCTGGTTTTCCTCTGCGACGCGTGAGCAGCCGCTATGTCCGCTGCTGCTGCTCCTGCTGCAGGTGGTGGGAGAGGGGCCCCTGGGTCGCCTCCCACAACCCCTTGGCTACCAGCCAGGCCTTTAGCTTCCGGCTCCATTCGGCCCAATTTTGTCCATTTAATTTCTCAAAGGGAACTGAGAATGATTCACGATCGTCTGCCATCTCCTCCCCGGGGCTAAGCTTACTCACGTCTCCCGGCAGTAGCTTTCTCCGCCTCCCGGCTCCGGCAGATCGCTTCTCCCCAGCGAGCTCCTTCCAGCTTCAAAGACACAGCTCCAGAGCTCCAGCTGGACCCCAGCAACTTTCCTGCTGGCTTCCCCACACGTGGGACGTTCCTGCAATGCTTCAAAGCTTTGGCGAGCTTCCATAACCTGTTGGAATTATTTACACCGGACAAGAGGGTACACAGAGACTGAACATGGAGCCCGGCACGCTTCCGTTGCGGAACTCTGCAAGCTATCCGTGCCTCCTGCAAAAATCCTCCTCAGGCCTCTTTCTCTTGCCGGTAGCAGAGCGAAACACAGCGGTGAGAAGCAGAGTGCAGCACGTGTGGAATAAATCAGTCCAGACACAAGGCAGTCCTTATCTACTCTTGCCTTTTAATCATGAAGAATAACATCATAAATTCAGACCTGGCGAGAACTGACACATTCTCCCTTTCGCATCACGTCCGAAAGTCAGACTGAAACACACGGAGTCAAACCCCTCCCTTAAGTGTTTCTAACCACGCCTCAGGAAAGAGACGTCACCAGAACTCTTTAACTCTGTGAGTTCTGAAACCATTCACAAGGTCTTGAGCATCTAGCAATGAAATTCAATTTGCCTAGAATGCATCTGTACAGCGTAGTGTCAGAAAACGCTTCAGCAGTACTATCTACCTGGTAACCTGTCACCATCGGTGTGTCTGCTGGGTTTGCATCAACCAAATTCAACCTGGTTAATACATCAGCAATTTTCTGTGTTTGGTGTACCAGAAAATTACCTGCTTGGTCCCTCTCCACCTGCAGAGAAAGATAGTTAGATACCTCACCAAGATCCTTCATGTCAAAGTGCTCCTTCAGCTGAGCTAGGGTGCTTTGGTACAAAGCCTGATTCTTCCAAAACAACAGAAGATCATCAACAAAACATAAACAATACAGTTTGTTTTGCCCCTCCTCCTTGACAAACACACACGGATCAGCTTTGCCCTGGTGAAAACCTAGAGAAAGCAATGTCTCAGTGAGTTTTGTGTTCCAACACCTAGCACTCTGCTTGAGACCATATAAGGATTTCCGCAGTTTACAGACCATTCCCTTCTGTATCTGCATCCCATCAGGTGGAAGCATAAACAGCTCCTCCCTCAAAATCCCATACAAAAAAGCTGTATTAATGTCATGATGGGAAACATGCAGTTTCTCCTCCACAGCGATCTTGAGCATCAGCCGAATGCTCTCATATTTGACGGTGGGTGAGTAGGTCTCGTGGTAATCCTGTCCCGGTACCTGTGAAAAACCTCTGGCAACCAATCTGGCTTTGTGTCTGACAACCTTGCCATTCTGGTCTGTCTTGGCCTTGAAGACCCATTTGCTGCCAACCAGTCTCAGTCCTGGGACTACCGGTACCAGTTCCCAAGTTTGGTTCCTATTCAAGGAATCAACTTCAGCCTTCATGGCATTTAGCCAAGGCTCAGCATCTTTAGAGGTTAACTCCTGAACCTCTTTGAAGCTTGAAGGTTCCCATACCTTCTCTGAGCTACGAAGAACAGCAGTTGCTGTCTTAGCAAACTCATCAGCAAATCTCTTTGGAGGTCTGCCCTTTGTGGCTCTTTCAGATCTGCGTACTAGACGCAAGTCTTCTGGACTCATCTCCTCCTTCTTAGGAGAAAAGTGACCAATGGTGAACAGTGGTTCTTCCAGTTCATTGTCAGACGCATCAGATGGTCTGACTGAGGCCTTTGCGCTCTTGTAGTCTGCTGTGTCATCACTGTCACTGACACCAGCAGCAGCGCCGCCCACTGAACTGGAATCCGAACTCTGATCATCATCATCATCCTCAGCTTTCTCAGCTTCCTCAACACTGTCTGCTTTCTTCACATCACCTTCATCCTCCTCTGGGTAACTCTGGAAAATTCCCACATTTTCCCCCCACTTAGGATTGTACTCAACACTTTTTGTGAACTTAATGGACTTAGAGTCAGTCATCCATACCCTGTATGCTCCGTTTTCGTACCCATGAACAAACCATGTGCCCCACGCTTCCCAAGCTTGTTGCTTTGTGGGGTGTGTACCCACATGTCAGAACCAAAGATTCTCATGTGCTTGATGTTGGGTTTCTTACCAAACATCTTCTCATGGGGGGTACAACCAATAGGTGATGACAATCTGCGATTATAAGTGTAAACAAACAAGTTCAAAGACTCCCCCCAAAACTTCTCAGGGAGATTGGCATCATGCAACAAGGTTTTCAGTCCTTGCAGCAACGTTTGATTTGCTCGCTCCGCAAGTCCATTCATCCATGGCGATCTAGGCGTTGACAAGTCATGCTGGATTCCCTTCTCAGTCAGGAAAGCTTCAAACTGCTGAGAAGTGAACTCCCCGCCTCGATCAGTAAAGAGACAGCCAATACGTTTACCGTGAACATTCTCCAACCAAGCACAGAATGCCTTGAACTTAGGAAACGCTTGCGATTTCTGCTCGAGCATAAACACATGAATGTACCTGGAAAAAGAATCAATTAGAATCATGAAGTACCTTGCTCCACCCAAAGAGGGCGCAAGTGGACCAACCAGGTCTGCGTGCACTAGCTGGTAGGGTTTGGAAGCCTGCCTGCTAGACTCCTTGCCTTTGGAGCAACCTTCACCTTGTTCTCTGCACAAGATACACATTTCATGTGAAACTTACAGGGTTTGATGTTCAAACCCTCAACCATCTCTGGCATCTTGGCCAGTGCCTTCCAAGAGAGGTGACAAAACCTTCTGTGTGCATCGTGAATGCATCCTGCATGAAGAACTTTGTTAGTTTGTGCAACACAACAAGAATCAACATTAGACACAACAGCACCATTGTCATCATAAGTTATACAGAACAAGCCATCCATAAACTTTGCATGCAAAATGTCCTCTTTGCCTTTTCTGATGACACAGACGCTCCTCTTGAAGGAAATCTCAAAACCACGCCCAGTAAGCTGTGGGACACTGAGCAAATTGTCTGCAGCACCTGGAACATATAGTACATCTTTGATGGTAGTGTGCAGACTTGCCAGTCTCACAGTCCCTTGTCCTGCGATTCGCAACGTTTTTCCGTCAGCCTGGTGAATCTCTCCATCTTGAGGCGTGAAGGAGATAAACAGGTGCCGATTGTTGGCAATGTGCCTTGATGCACCAGAATCTACAACAAATCTGGCTTTGGCCTTTGGAGCAGCTTTTCCAGCAAGCAAAACCTTGTTTTCCACCGGCGTGGGCTTTTGCTGTTTGCCCCCCTGCTCCTGGCCATCAGACTTGCCTTTAGCCTTTGGTGAAGCTGTGCCAGCAAACAAAGCCTTGTTTTCCACTGGCGTGGGCTCTTCACCCTCCCTCTGCTTCTGGCCATCTGCAGGCATCTGCCTCTGTTTACCTCTGGCCTTCCGGCCTTTGCAAAGGCGATGACCTTGGTTCTCACGAGAAACAGAGCTCTCAGCTGCCGACTCCTTGGCTCCCCCTGGAGGCTGGAATGCTGCCTGGGATGACGTGACAGTCAGCTCCCCCTGCAGCTTGCAATCGGTGCCCTCAGCATCCCTGCATTCACTCGCATTCTGGGAAACAGCCAGGACCTCCGATGCAGTCAAACTCTGGGCTGGGATGACTGGCAAATGGGCTATCTTCAAAGCATTCCACATCTTACGTGCAGTCACGTTGCCAGCTAACGTTTTAATTTCCTCCAGAGTGACGGACAAGACTATTACGTCAATGGCCCTCGAATTCTGGGCTCTCCATCTATCTGTCAGAGGAACTGGAGGGGCTTCAGACACAGTATGCCACACTCCAAACTGTCGAAGCAAGCTCTCACACCACACAGCCCAGGTCCCATAATTGTGCCGATTTAACTTTGGGCACTCAGCAGCCTCAGAAGCTTGGAAAAACTCCATTCCAGGTTTTTACTTGAGCCGTGAGCCTTTATGCCTTCAAAAAGTTCTTATCTCAGCAGCTCATAAATCACGAAGCCTCTGGTGCAGCTCCCAGACCAATTAGGCCAGCTGGACATCTGAAGCCCTTGCCGCGGCAAACAGAAAAGCCTCACTTTCGCTTTTCCCACATACCTCAACGCAGTCTGTCGCAGTCTTACTCTCCTGTAAGTGCTGTGAATCTGGGCCCATAACCTGTTGTTGGGATACTGCCAGGGAGATAAAGTCCATCATGGCCCCCAAGCCGGCTGCCGGACGATCCATCGATCTCCCGTAGACACGCAGTATCAGCAATTAGCGACATGAGCTCCAGAACATTCTAGAGCCGATGCACACTCTTTATCAGCAGATAATGCACAGCAGAAGTCGCACTCAGGAGAGCATTATTTACAAGTTTTATTCAGCGTTGATCAGAACAAAGAAAACCATGACTGCCTGCATCGATGTCTCCAGACACAGAGAGAAAACGAAAGCAATAGGAAACATAAACATCCTGTGAACAGGAAATGCACAGACTCTGTGACTCACAAAAGCCTGCTCCCTTTTAAGGTGGAACGGAAATATCCTAACAGTCTGGTGGTGCCAGGTGATTGGCTGGTGGGTTGTACTGGATCCTGAGCACTCCGATGCCAATATGGACCTCTTGGGGCCTGTCCATTTCCACCTAGGGGCTTGCAATTTCTTAGCCTTGCCCTTTTGGTCGTGTAAGCTGGGCTGTGTTTTGGGGGGCATATGCAGAGGATGGCAGGGGTTTGGACGCTGCAGAACCATGGCTCTCACCCTGCCCTTGACACACCCATACTGTCCCTTTCTGCCCCTGCTGCTTCCACTCGGCTGGGCTTCAATCTGCAGCAGTCTCCATCCACAGGTGGATGTTGATCTGCCAGTCCAGCCCCTCCAAACCAACATATCTGGGGTTTAGAATCGCTTTGTTCTGGTAGCTGTACTGCTAGCTGTCTTGAGCACAGACCTTTCCCAGTAAATAAGCCAACCCCGCGGCCTGACTTCTTGCAATTGCTCAAATACTCTGGATAGTCCTCAGCCATATGCAGCAAATTCCGAGAGAAAAAGAAGACACAGACACTTTGAAGGCTTTAAAGTGGTGCATGGAAGACCGAGGAATGGTTGTAAAACATTCCACGGTAACAGTCTGGAAGTTCAAAGGGCGAATGCACCCTCGCCTCGGGAATCTGCGGGGGCCACAATCCCCCCCCCCCAGGAATCAACTTCA